GAAAAAAAAAAAAAAAAAAGAATTCTCCACACTGACTGTTGCTATTTATATCCCCACCAGCAGGGTACAAGAATGGTTCTATTTGCTCCCCAACACTTGGTAATGTTAGATTCTCACACTTTCATGCTTTGGATGGAATGGAATGGAATATCTCTGCTGGTGAAGGATGTAAGGGCTCTCTGTTGGGGGCAGGACCCAAGCTTTCAGACCTCATGCACTGACCGCTCCCTGACATGTGTCAGGCCTTCATGCATGATCACTCTCCAAACTCTCCCAGCCAGTTCTCACCTCTAATGGTACAAAGACAACAGCCCCGGCATGGAGAGGCTCAGGAAGTATGTGGGCATGTCTGTGGGTGAGTGGGTGAATGGATGGGTGGATGGATGGTTGACTGGGTGCGTAGATGGATGGGTGAAGGGTGGATAGATGGCAGAGGAATAGAGATGGATGAATAGAGGATGGGATGGCATGGGATAGGTAGACAGATGGGTGAGTGGAGGGTGCATAGATGATGGGTGGGGGAATGGAGGGATAGATAATGGATGGATGGGTGGGTGGGTGGATGGGTGGGTTGGAGGATGAATGGATAGGTGGATGGGTATGTAGTGGGGAGAATGGATGGGAATCTGCCATTGTGCATGAGTGCATATGCATGCAAACTGGAAGATACTTCAGGCTTCTTCATTCCTGGCTTCTTTTCAGAAAGACCAAGGAAGCCCCATATCTAAGCAGCAGCAGAGTCCCAGGAGTTGAGATCTTCCACAGGCTTAGGGACAACTATTGAAAATGGGATTAGTCTAGGCAGGGTTGGGTTGGGGATGGGCATGAAGGTAGGGTGTATTGGGCCTCAGAGGGTTCTTCAGACCGATGCCTTCAGGTGGGCAGGAAACTTCCACTTGGGGCTAAAGCTGAGGCTCAAATCCCTGTGGGCCTCCAGGAAGGGCAAACCTGGGCTGCAACCTCAGGAAAGGAGCAGGACCCAAGTGGTATTTGTTGCCACTGGCAGGGGGTGGACAGAAAGCCTTCCTGGAGGCAGGAGTCCATCGGCACTGGGACCTGAGCTGAGATGGTTGCATCACCTCTGGAGAAGAGAAGCCATCCGAAGTCCCTACTTCCCTCTGGGCATTCATGTCCCTTCTATGCCAAGTCATAGCCAGGCACTGAGTGCCAGTGCACAGCCCATGTACCCTCCTACCCACTCTCCCGTACCCACCTACCCACTGAGCCACCCCTTTATTCCTCAGCAGGTTCTTCTCCCCTGTTCCTGTCAATCTACCCCTGAGCAGCCCTATACAACACTAGCAAACCCAGGGCCAGGTCTCTCCTGTGCTGTCCTCACAGCAAGCTTATAAGACAGGGTGAGATATCACCCCCACTGTCTAGAAGAGAAGCGGAAATGGGTTTAGTGAGGTTAAGCAACTTCCTAAATGACACACAGCTAGGAAGGGGCAGAGCTTGGACTCAAACTCTTAGCAGGTGGAGCCCTTAACACCACACAATCTGTCCCTCCGTCCGTCCATCAGTCCATCCACCCACCCTCTTAGCTGCCTGCCACCCGGTCTCGCCACTCACCTGCTGCCACTTGTCCATCCATCGACCCATCCATCCACCACTGTCACCCATCCATCCTGGAGGTAATGTGGTTAGAGCACCAGGGCCCTGCGGGGCAAGAGGCCCCAAATTGCCCATCTGGCCAGGTCGAGAAGGACTAAGGGTGGGGGCTGCCCTGGGCGGGCAGAGCTGTACGGGGCTGGAGGGAATTAGCTGAGTGACTGCCAGGATCATCTAATTAGGGACGCTAGTGATAAGCAGATAGCATCGGGAGTGATTAGAATCCTTTTAAAAAGCTACTCCATTAATTACAGAGACACAGAGGGGCCTCTGGCTGCTCAGAATACCAATCCGCTGCCTAATCAGCCCATCAGCTTCCCAGGAGGACTTCCTGGGAGTGCTGTGTGACCTTGGGTGTTCCCGGCCCTCTCTGGGCGCTCAGGTGGTGGGTCTGGCACTGTTGATCAGCCTGAGACTTTAGGTTCTTTCTCCTTCCAGGCTGTGGCTCAGGGGGTGAGCCTGAGGGTGGCCCATGGCCAGGGATGCTGGATGTCAGAGGCTAAAGCCAGGGAGGAAACCCCTGGGAGGAGTGCCACCACCTGCCCATGAGTGGGGACAGTGGCTTGGAGAGGAAAGAGACCTCACTTTTGGGGAGAGGCAAGAACACAGCTCAGTCCTCCCCACAGTCCTTGGGGACCCTCAAGCACATTGGGGTGTAGGACTCTCAAACTTCTTGCAGGAGGGGTCACCACCCACACTCTCCCTTGCCACTGCCGAGAGCACCGCTGCTACAGTCACCATAATCACCACCACTGCTACCACTGTCTCTCCCTCCACCCTCAGCTGGCGTCACCATTGTCAAGACCACCACCACAGCCACCATCACCATCACCATCATCACCAGTATCTCTATTGTCACCATCGCCACTGCATCCAGTCACCATGACCATGGCCATCCCTGCAGTTGCCACTACCAACACCATCCCACTTCCTTTGTCACTCACCCACCCCCACTACCTCCATGGCTTCTCTGACCACCTCAGCCATACTTACTGGTCACCCCCAACCCCTCCACCTCCTGTCACCTCTGACATGGCCACATTCATCACGGCCATCCCTACCTGCCATGATGGGGCCACCATCTCCATGACAAGGACAGCCATTGGCTGCCACAGCAAGGTAACCGTTACCCCAAGTTCACACAGCCGGTGTCCTTGGCTGACCTGGGGCTGGGGGATGGTTTGGGGAAGCTGTGGAACCCTGGGCTCGAGGACACCTCCCAGTGCTGGAGCTGGGAGCTCCACACATAGCCTGGGAACCCCAAAACCCCACATCACAGGTCTGCTACTGCCTCTTTCCCATGCACGCTTAGGCTCAGGCTGGTAACCCTGACTGGACTCTGAGGGAGGATGCTACTTGGGCCTCCCTCCTGTCCTGCTGCACTGCAGGGTGCAAGATGGCCCTGGGAGAGGGAGGCAGTGCTGCTGAGGTCAGGGATCCAGAACCCCACCTGCCAGTGCCACCAAAGTCGTCATTGCCCGCTGCTCCGCTGGTAGTCCTGCCCTCACTTGGCATGTTCTCTCAACACACCCTCTTTACCACCATCTTCCACTAACAGGCATCTGAATGCCACCCAGCCCTTTGTCACCACTGTCACTGACCCTGTGACCCCACCAACTGCAGTGCCATCCTCCTTGTACTGGGTCATCAAGGCCATCGTCACCTCCGGCCATGTCACAGAGATACTCAATCCATCCCTGTGTCTCTCCAGTGGGTGCTTGGGAGTTTGCAGAAGCTTGCAGGAGGAGCAGCAGCCCCACCTGTGCACTGACAGGGCTGGGCTCCTGGCGAGGGCGACCCAGGCCACAGTGGTGCAGGGGAGAAGTTGCTGCCCACAGGTTTGTCAGCTGCAGTTCTCAGACATCCTTGGGTGCCAGGACAAGTGAGAAAGGGAGGCGCTTAGGACTGCTGCTTCATTTGCCTTCTTCTGGGGCCATTGTAATAGACACCACAAACCAGGTAGCTTCAATGAACAGAGGTCTGCTAAGTGTGGTTGTAAATACCAGCACTCGGAGGCTGAGGCAGGAGGATTGCCATGAGTTTGAGTTACATAGGGAGCTCAAGGCCACCCTTAACTGTCTCAAAACACAAAACAAAAAATATAAAAAAGTTCCTACAGCGGTGCTGGGGAGATAGCTCAGCAGCAAAAGTGCTTGCCTGGCAAGCACAAGGTCCTGAGTTCAATCCCCGGTACAAAAAAAAAAGTTCCCACAAAGTAGAAATCTATTCTCTCTCACGGTTCTGGAGGCCAGAAGTGTGCAACCAGCTTTTCAGGGGGGCTGCACTCTGAGGGAGGCCTTCCTGCCATGTCCCCTCCCAGCGGGAGCTCTTCTGGCAGCTGTCACCTGAGTCTGGCTCCAGATCGCTCATCGCCCTTCCCTTGTTGGACTCAGGCCCCACTCAAGTAACCCAGGACAATCTCATCTCTACACCCATTAGGAACCTTTTTCCAAATAAGCTCATACTGGGTTTCCAGGAGTTCAGAGGGGAACATAGTTCTGGGGGTTTAGGGGATACTCTTCAGTCCAGAACACTCACTTATTTATATTATTGTCCATTTCCATTTTCCTCTTCAATGTGGAGAGGGATCTCCTAGAGACTCACTGTTCACAACAGCCCCAGACAGCCCTGGATTCTGACCCTCCTCTCTGTCATTGCTGTGTGACTTTGAACATGTTGCTGCCCACCTCTGAGCTTCATTATTCAACACATGTTTGCCAAATGCCACGCTGGCACACATGCCTATCTGTGTGGAGCTCAATCACCCCTGAGGAGGTGATAACAGGGCATAAGATAAACTCCCACCACCCTGTACTGCAGGCCTGCTTGCCACCCAGCAGCAGCCCTGCCCCTGGGCCCTGAGGACATGAGGGTGTGTCCCAGGAATCCCTCCATCTCTCCCTGCCTGCAGCCTGGGTTGGGTGCCACCCCTGCATGGATCCTTGGTGCTCAGCCATTGCCCCAGAGTGGCCTGGGGTTGGGGGCCAGCTCCTTGCACCTGGCTCTGCCTGATCCAGCGCTGAGGTAGGGTTTGCCACGCCCTGGAAGCTGATGTCACAAAGGTTGGGCCCCAGCTCCAGAGGAGACCTGCAGCTTGGCACACGCAGCTCTGTCCCTCCCCTCCCGTGCCCCTCTGCAGACAGGGACTATGACGAGCTAAGCCCACTGAGGGGCACAGTCTCGCCCAGACCCCACAGCTTCCTGCCAGGCCCCTGTCACTGCCACAGGGAGTTGCCCAGCCAGCCACGGCCTTGGGTCCATTAACCTCAGCCACCTCCCAGCCACCTCACCATGGCTAACTACTACGAGGTGCTGGGTGTGCAGGCCGGAGCCTCTGCTGATGACATCAAGAAGGCCTACCACAAGCTGGCCCTTCGCTGGCACCCCGACAAAAACCCTGACAACAAAGAAGAGGCTGAGAAGAAGTTCAAACAGGTGTCTGAGGCCTATGAGGTCCTGTCTGACCCCAAGAAGCGCTCAGTGTATGACCGTGCGGGCTGCAACAGCTGGCGGGCAGGTGGTGGGGCCAACGCCCCACATCGCAGTCCCTTTGGTAGTGGCTACACCTTCCGCAACCCAGAAGACATCTTCCGAGAGTTCTTTGGTGGCCTTGATCCCTTCTCTTTTGATTTCTGGGACAGTCCCTTTGGGGGCAGTGAGCGTGGTGGCAGGGGACCTGGCCTGTGTGGTGCCTTCTCGGGCTTTGGCAAGTTCCCAGCCTTCATGGAGGCCTTTTCATCCCTGGACACCCTGGGCCGCGGCGCATCCCGCACCTCCTTTTCAGCCACTTCCTTTGGGGGCTCAGGCGCGGGCAGCTCGGGCTTCAAGACAGTGATGTCATCCACTGAGATCGTCAACGGGCACAAGGTGACCACGAAGCGCATCGTGGAGAACGGGCAGGAGCGCGTGGAGGTGGAGCAGGACGGGCAGCTCCGCTCGGTGACCATCAACGGCAAGGAGCAGCTCAAGCGGGTGGACAACAAGTGAGCACTTCTCAGCCAAGGCCTGGTTTTGTCCTGGCCAAGAGATGGTAGCTGACATTAATAAAGGCGGCTGGCAATGAGTTCCAGAAGCCCCTGGCTGGCTCTGTGGGGCAGGAGGGGCTCAGGGAACTCAGAGTAGTGTATCCCATCCTGCCTGCATTACCTGTCCAGGGCAACCTCTGCCCTGAGCAGAAAGACCCCCACCCTAACGCTCCTCATGGGGACCTTGTCAACCCCCTGGAGCCTCCTGATTCCATCCCACCTCTCAGAGGTCCCGCCAAGCCAGTTGTCTACCCCTCCATTTTTCACTGCCACAATTGCCCCACAGCCGAAGGTCCTTTGCATGTGGTACTGTCCTGATGAACACCTGCAGGCTTAGTCCTGCACTCTGTGGGGGAAGCAGGTTAGGACAAGCAGGTCCCGGCCCAGGAAGGCAGAGCTCTCTCCAAGGCTTGGGGGTACTACTTGGGGGTAGCAAGGGGGTAGAAACTCTCCACTATGGGAGGCAAAAGAGAAGGGGATTGCATTCTGCTTATGAGGCCCATTGAATGCTGGTCTTTGTATCTTTATTTTTATTTTTTGAGACAGAGTCTCACTGTGTAGCTCAGGTTGGCCTCAAACTCACTATATAGCCCAGGTTCACCTTGAACTCGCAGGGATCCTCCTGCCTCAGCCTCCTGAATGCTGGAATTATAGGTGTATGCCATTATGCCTGGCTGAACATCTTTTTTTCAGACTCACTATGTAGTTCATGATGACATTGAATTCCCTTGCAGACCAGGCTGGCTTTGAACTCACAGAGATCCTCTTGTCTTAGCCTCCTGAGTACTCTAAGCATGTTTTTTTGTTTTGTTTTTTCTCGGAACCAGGGATTGAACTCAGGCCCTTGCGCTTGCCAGGGAAGCACTTATTCCACTGAGCCATCTCCCCGGCCCCTCTAAGCATGTTTTTTAAAAATGTATTTTAAAGGTTTAAAACAGTCTCAAACATAGAGCTATATCAGATGTTTTTATGTATGTATTTCTACTTTCATGATGTGGAGATTAACTCCAGGACCTCCCATGAGCTAAGCCCATGCCTGACTGCTGAGCTCACCCCAAGCCCTGTAGGGATTGAACCCAGGTCTTTCATGCTGAGCTATATCTGCAGCCCTTTTCATTTTTGAGGCCATCTTGTTATGTCTCTAAGTCGCCTTGGTGAGATGGAACTTAGGATCCTCCTGCTTTAACGTCCTGAAGAGCTGAGGTTACAGGTGGATACCACAAGTGGGGATTGGCCCTTTTAACTCCATGCAATTGAAGGAATAGTAATCAAGCACCTATCCAGGCCAGACATTGATTTAGGCACAGGATATTGCTTTGATCAGTTAGATTCCTCCCTTGTGGAATTAGGGTCATGGGACAAGAATGCTGGACAGGAGCACAGGCAGCTATGCTGAGGGCAAAGGGTAGGGAGAGAATAGGGGAAACCTTAGACCTGGATGATGGGAATGGGACCCTGAGCCACTGGGGCTGCAGTAGAAACAGCAAGGCAAAGGTGTCGAGTCCAGAGCAGGACATGCAGCACTGCCTCTTTCCCAGACAGGGACCACTCGCTGTGAGATTGGGAGGAAACTGAGGCAAGAGAGAAGTCCCATGGCTCATCAGAGGCAGACCCAGAACTCCATCCTAGCCATTGACTCCAGATGGCTTTGCCTTTAACTATTATTATCAGCACTGTAGCAACAGCCCAAAGTAGGCATATGCTGTGCATGTATGTGGTGAATGTGTGTGTATACGTGTGTGAGCAGGTGTGTGCGTGTGTGGGTATGTGTTCGTGTGAGCATGTCTATGAGGGGACATGTGTGATTCTAATTCCTGGACCCTTTGGGGCTAGCACAGCAGCCAGAGAAGGCAGTGACCCAGGTCCAGAGGCCCCGGCTGACTGGTGTACTTCTGCAGGCCAGCTCCCTGGTTGGCATCTCACCCCTAGCGATAAACAATGTGGAGCACTGTCCCCAACAGCAGGTTATGCTCAGAGGATGCCACTGGAGCAGAAGGTGAGGGGACATGGAGGCCTGGACTAGAAAGGGTCCAGTAAGGACCCAGCTCTGCAGTGCAAAGCCACACTGGTGGGGAGGGGTGATAGATCTCCCGTGTCCACAGAGCCCCTGTGGCTGCCATGGCCTGCTGGCTCCTAGTGGCAGCTGCAGGCTGATAACTGTGTTACTTGAAGCTGGCCCAGCTCGCCAGAGGTCGGAGCCCATGCCCCGTCCTGCCTCAGGACTAACTTCATCAAAGCCCCACACGGCTCTGACCACCTGACCTCTGTCCTTGCCGACCCAGACCTCTGTTCCCCCACAACTCTCTAATTTCCCCAATCACTGGTCACTGTGGCCGCACCAAGTGGCTGCTTAGCTGGGACAGCTGCCGGACAAATGTGATTATAGCTGACTGGGAAGGTGGGCATCTGTGGGGCCCAGCACCCAGAAGCAGCACCCTAGGAGTGTCACAGGACACAGTCCCTGTCCAGCACAGCCCGGCTGCTGCTGTCCCAGTACCCATGCGCCTCCTGCAGCTGTCCATGACCCCAGCACCCCAAGGCCTCCCACAGATGCTGAGCCCTACTTTATGCTAGACAGGAAGAATCTGGGGATACCCAGGGGAGAAGGGGCCCCCAGTCATGGCACTGCTTGCTCCACACCCTGTTGGCATCCACAATGTGCTACCCCCTCTGCCCAGGCCACCTGTTATCTCCTGTGGGCCTCCAGGCCTGACCGTGTGTCTTGGTGGGGACTGCAGCAGCAAGGGCGGATGGCCGCGCAGGGCTGGGATGCCCGTGCCGGTGCCCCACTGCAGGCCCACATCACCTGGCCCGCGACATCCTGGATGCCCCAGCAGCGAGAGAGCTACCTGGCCTGTTCCTGGCCCAGGACCGCGGCACTGGCCATGCCTGTTGCCTGGCACCTCCCCAGGCCCTCATAGCCCCTCTTCTGTTCTACACTGCACCCACTCTCCCACCTTCAGTGTTGGTGATGTAGTCCTACCACCTGGAGCCTCACACCTCAGCCCACACAGCTAAACCTCCCATCCCTCTGTCTCCAACATCTCATAGGCTTTCACAGCGCTGGGTGTCTAAAGGGACCCAAATCATCCTGGGGAAAGGGTGGATTTTGCGGTTTTCAATAATGTATTTACTAACTGGGTGTGGTGGCCACAAGTTCAAGTCCAGCCTGAACAGCCTTGGGGTACATAGAGACTTAGCAAAATTCTGTCTCAAAATTAAACAAAAGAGCTAGGAACAGAGCTCACTGTAAGGGTCCTGTGTTTTGCCCTCAGTACCACACACACACAAAAAGGCAACATCCTTCCTGTACTAGGAAGCAATGACATGGGTAACATACCTCAGTCACAAGGCAGCTCTGGGGGTGCTACTAGCCCCAGGGCTCCAGCAGGACCATTAGGAGATCTTCAGCCTCAGGGGCACCCCCCTTCTGCTAGACCACCACTCACCCCACTTACAGATGGGGACACTGAGTCTCAGAGAGTGAGAGACCTGGCCAAGGTCACTGGGCAGTCTGTGCCACCCATCCCCCCCACCCCCTGCAGTGGGTGGGGCGCCCCTCCTCGCCTCCCTGCTCACGATGTTATCGCCCTGATTTAATTTCAAAGACGGATTGAGCTGCAGGAGGGGGAGGGCTAATCGCAGCCGCCATCTGCCCCGTTGCCATGGGGACAGGCTCCCCGGTGCAGTGCAGGGTGGACCCAGATAAGGGAGTGGGCCAGGGAACTGGTGGTGGGGACGAAGGGACGCCCAGGGAGCAGGGAGCCCTATCAAGGGGAGCCTGGGGCAGAGACAAACTTGTGGGCCTGGAGGCTCCCTGGGTATGGAGGCCCTGGCCAGCTGGCAACAAGACGGCCAGGATGCCCAGCAGCCTCACCTGCCCTGTGGCCAGCAGTGTGCCACGGCTGGCTAGGGACTCAAAGCCACTGCAGCAGGGCCTGGTGACAGGTCATCCCACTACAGACACCTACCAGGCAGCCCCAGCTCAGCAAGGGGGCCTCAGTGCTGTACCCAGGGCTGGCTCCACAACTATGACAGCCACCTAAGTCAGTCCTGTTGCCTCCCCTGCACCCAGAGTGGGTGCCCTGATGACCCTCCATAGGACACACAACTCAGGACATGGGTGGTCAGAATGTCCAGAGCAGGGAAGCCCAGAGCACTGCCCTGCCCACACTGTCCCTTCCTGGCCACTCCCTGCTGGACATTGTGCCACGTGTCCCTGCTGGCCACCCCACTGCCATCCTTGCCACCTGGCAGCACCAGATCAGGTCCTACAGGGGAGAGAGCACAGCTGGCAGATGTCCTGGGCCCAGGGCGGAGGTGGCCCCATCCGTATCACTGTAAGGCAAGCAACACACCTGATGGTCCCTCAGTCACCAGACCTGACCCAGACTTTACCACTCCCTGCAGATCCCTGCTGGACTTAAGGCAGCCGGGGAGGAGCTCCCGCATGGACTCCTCCTCCCTGCTGGGGACAGGAACATCCTCTGCCCTTGGCACTGCCATGCTGCCTCAGGAGCACCACTGCCACTGGGCAGCACCAAGTCGACTTTGGGAGTTGCTCAAGTCCGAAGTTCCCAAGAGGGCTCAGCCCATAAGCCTTCCTTGGAGGGGGTTCCTTGTGAACCCCAGGACACCAAACTCAACCCAGGCTCCATGGACCTTTCACTTCCCACCTCTTCACCTCCAGTGATTGGGGGTCACTTTAACCTCAGTAAAACAGACAGAACTGAGAGCTTTCCACGGCACAGTATCTGCCCCAGACTGTACAGTTTGGTAGCTTTGAGTGCAGTCACTGTGTTCTGTGACTGTTGACACCAACCTTTGCGGGGCTGTCCCTTGTCCCCCATCTATGCCATCCTGGTGCCCTCCACTGGGCCCTGATAAGCCCACACTACTTCCTGTTGCTGTGGATCCACTGCTCTGCCTGCTGCACTGAGTGGAGCATGCAGTGTTATTGTTGCTATGGATGAACTTATTTCCAAAGGGATGCTGGGTGGGACCCAGGGCCTTGAGCA